AAAAAAAAAAAAAAAAAGGAAACTTGGTTTTGTAAACCTCTGGGGCTGTCTGCACACTTCCTGTGCCCTACAACCTTCATCTTCCTCCCCTGCCCAGGGGCTAATGCTCAGGTCACCCAGTCTGGTTTTGAGTGTTAGCAAATCTTACTTTGTTTGGGGTGGATTGATAGGGTTTATATGCCAAGTCCCATGCCATTAGTAAATGGTACCACAAGGAGCCTGGGGCCAAGGAGAGTGCTCACTCCTTGCTGTGGACATATGGAATTGATGACCGCAAGAAGTGATCTAGATTGCACATGAGAATGGGCTAAGAGAGGGTCTCACTCCTTCCCTTTCACGGTGGAAGGTCACTCCAGTTTCACAGACAGGACACGAGGGGGTCAATGGTGTAAGGGTGGGACTGAGCCATTGTGGGCTCCTTACACCTCCTGAGCATCAGTGAGTCATGACCACATGTCTGATGCCTGATGGGCATCAGTAGTCAGGATGGAACCACTCGGAATGGGGATGGAATACGGAGTGCTCACAGCCATCTCTCACCATGTGTAGGGGTCTGGACAGCACTGCTTAAAATCGGATGGTTATACTGATGATCACCTGGAAATCATAGAAAAGAGATGTTTAAAGAAGAGTTCGGGCATTCCATTTTTTTCTCCCGCACAATAGCACCTCTCTTGACATCTAATGTGCTTCTCTGAGTCCAAGGATGCCCTTCTGAAGCCTGATGCCCTGGAAAAGTGAGGGCAGAAGGCGGTGTGTTAGGCGCAAAGAACCTTCCTCTGCTGCTTGTGTCTCTCTCCTTCTGCACCAAGACGTCCGCTGTCACCATGGAGACCCACCCACATCTGTGGATCTGGCTGACCGGCAACAGAGGTTTGTTGGGGTGGAGGTGGGTGGAGGAGAAGGATGGATGGAGACTAAGGGCCATTTGGCAAGTATACACACATGGGGTGGGGAACCGGGCAGGGGAAGGAGATCCTTTTGGCGGGGAAGGGGTGTTTTAGGGTGTGGCTAGCCAGGAAGAGGATTCCCTAACTTAAGGTGCTTATACTTTTACGGGGCTTTGATTCATCCTGACTCTTTATACACAGGTGTCTGGGTGCATCCTCAGATGGGACAAGCTGACGTGAACTGTCCACTGCTTGGGATCAGGAGTCCTGGGTTCTAGGCTCTGTCCTGCCTCTACATGACACAGCCCAACATTTCCAAAGCATTTCTTTTTTTTTTGTTTGTTTTAAAGATTTTATTTATTTATTTGACAGAGGCAGTGAGAGAGGGAACACAAGCAGTGGGAGTGGGAGAGGGAGAAGCAGGCTTCCCGCGGAGCAGGGAGCCCGATGTGATCATGACCTGAGCCGAAGGCAGACGCTTAACGACTGAGCCACCCAGGCGCCCCCAAAGCATTTCTTTTTATTATAAATGGCAAAGTCCACATGGAATGAACAAGTCACAAAATTAATAGGGTCCCAGTTGCGAAAGCGCAGAGTTCAAGGCATTCTAAGGGCTTCTGAAACTGAATGCAGCTGGTTTTTGCCACGAAAGAATACTTCATTCCTATGTTATTACTTTAATTCAACATTGTATTTTTGCCTCTAATATCAACTAAAGCAAGGGGGGAAGGAGGCATGAAGTCTTTGCTTTAGTTTTTCTAAACCATGGTTTATAGCCATGCCATCATCTTGGGGCTAGAAGATCTGCTTCTGTTTCCTTTCATCTTGCTATCGAAACCATCTTTTTTACCCCTGACATCCTAGCCTCTGGCTGCTCACTATTCAGCTTCCTCACCAGACCCCTTCGCCTCTTGTATTCCCGACAGACTGATGCTTCATGAAGGCTCTATCTTCTTACACAAACTGATAGTTCTCAAATACACCTCAAATACAGACATGCCCTCGAAATTCCTGCCCTTATTCCAAACCACTCTGTCCCAAAGTGAGCTGAGCCTTCTCATCATTTTATTGTCCCACGGTCAAGCTTCTGTCTGTCCGTGGCACTAATGTTCTATGGGCTTGCAAGCCCCAGTCATGGTCCATCATTTCCCTCCCTTCATTCTCCCCAAATCCTGTTCCTATAGCCACCTCCAAACTCCAGGCCCATAATATATCTTTTCGTCCAGATTCCTCTTAGCTCTAGACCCTGGCCATTTCTAAGACAAATCATCCTGGGTACTCCTACTAGACAAAAATTCCCCTACTAATGGAATCATGACATCGTTCCTTTGGTTCAGACTATACTCTTTAAGTAGTCATGGACATTATCCAAAGGGGATGTGGGTTTGGGCAGCAAGCTAGAATTTCTCACATAATGGTATTCTTCCCTCCCAAGACCGAATATTAAGTTATATCCAGGGAAAAAACCATTTGCCAAAGATTGAATTAATGCTACACCGGACCTGGATTTAAGCAAGAGGAGAGAATCCAGGAAGGGAGATAAAGGATAATTTTTTTTTTTTCCCTTTTTGTTTGTACTCCAGAGGCAAGGAGAAAACCAGTTTCATTGCTCTCTGTTGTTGTTATTTTTTGGTTTATTTGTTTTTAGGCAATATGGCAGCATTAGAGACAGCTGTAAAAAATGGAAGAGCGCAGTGGAAGGATGGTGAGTGACAGTTAGACAGAAACACTCTTAATCTTCCATATTAGAGTCTAGGTGCCACCGAGGAAAGGGACATCAATTCAGTTCAGTTAATAATTCCTGGTCACCAGTTGTGCTCTGTGCTTTGTGCTAAACACATTCACCTACATTTTTGAGAATGAATATTCAGACCGATTTTGATTTGTATATATGTTATTGGCCTACCCATTTCCAAACTGTAAAAAAACCTCTTTAAATGTCTTCTTTGAGGTAGTCCTTATCATTTTTCTTTACAGATGCATTTGCAAGCAGGATAAATGTCTTGCATTTAGATATCTTGTTTACAAGTGCAATGCTTTTCCTTTTGTTTGAATCACACTTCGAATGTTTTGCTAACATTTAATTAAGGGAAGAAATTTAAAGCATAAAGGAGAAAATTAAAACTGTCTTAAAATAACCACGATGACACTTTGCTATATTTCCTTTTCTTTCTCTCCCCCTGGAAATTACTATGTGTATGTTTACATTCAGACACACACACAAGATTACAATGAATTACCTTTTGCGTTTGTCATTTTGCACAAGTGTGAATCAGCTTTCAGCCCTTAAGATGCAGAAAGATACAGATAAGTACGACGATTTGATCCTCACATTTGTGCAAAATAACAAATGTGTGAGGTTATTCATTGCAACATTTTTATAGTTTTTATAAAACTATAATAAACTAAAATTTATAAAAATTTATAAAATTTTGTAGCAAAGAAAAGGAAAAAAGAAGGAACCTAAATGTTCATAGGCATACGTACATACACACACACATAAATACGCATAGGTTCCACAGATGCAAGTGTCTCAAATATACTACTTTTAATCTGTTTCCTTTATACTTAATGGACAACGAATCTTGAATAGATTTTCACATTTTGAAGTATTCCTTGAAATATTTTATATGGGCTCACAATAGTCCTTTCTATAGAATACTCTATAGTACACAGCTATAATGTAAGCATTAAATTATATAATTTAAGCCATTCATCTCTTCCTGGGAATTCCCTTAATTTGATTTTGGTGTCGTATCATTTCATTGCAACATTGGATTCTATTTGCATATATTTTATTTATAAATTTTTAAAAATATTTATTTATTTATTTTAGAGAGAGTGAGACAGTGAGTGGGGGGAGGGGCAGAGAGAGAGAATCTCAAGCAGACTCCCCCCTGCTGAGCACAGAGCCCGACACAGGGCTCGATCTCACCACCCTGAGATCACCACCTGAGTCAAAACAAAGAATCTGACACCTAACCGACTGTGCCACCCAGGCACCCTTTGCATATATTTATTTAATTCATATATATTCATAAAGAAAGTTTGTCTTTTTTTTGCTAAGATATCAAGCTTGTGCATCAAGATAATGATTTCGTTGAGTTAGGTGAATAGCATTCAAATTTTCTGTGTGCCCTGAAACTATTAATATAGCACATGAGATACCCGTTCTTCGGAAGTTTGGAGGAATACAATAATAAATAATGTCTAGTGTCTTTTGGGGAGTTTTTGTTAGTACCGTATAGGGGGCTGACTTAGTATTTCATTGACTGCACAACAAAAAATTTGGGAGATGGATGTTGTTATAATCACCAATTTAGAGCTAGGGAAACTGAGGTTTGGAGAGGTCAGTAATTGGCCCAACAGGTGAAGCTGGGGATGCAAACCCAGGCAGGCTGGCATGAAAGCCCCCATCCTTAACCATTATGTGCAGTGCTTCTCACACTCGGCAACATTTTCTTTACATATTAATCTATTCAGTTTTCCAACTCTAAATTCAACTTGTAGTTTCTATTTTTCCTAAATATATCCACTGGAACTTTGTAACTTTTTTAGCTTAAAACTATAACATTCCTCAAAAAAAAAAAGCCCTCTCTATATGAAATCCTAAGTCTTTTCTTATTCTTAGTTTTCTGTGTTAAAATTTTCTGGATCAGCAATTTTTTCGTATTATTATTCTTTTTCCAAGAACTACCCCTTATACATATGTATTCTTTGTTTTGTCTTCAAATCTTATTTTATGCTTTTGGACTTGTTCATTTCTGCCCTCCTAATTTTCCTTGGTTTGGTTTGCTTTTGTTTTCTCATTTCTGGGCTCAAATCTTTGGTTTATTTACTTTTCCTCTTTTCAGTTAATAATATAAGGTTTTTAGCTCTGATTTCATCTCTGGCACCTTCTCGTCAATGTTCTTATTGTTGCAATGTCCTAAATGATCTGTAATTGCAGCCTTGGTTTTCCCTCTGACCCAAGAGTTCTTTAGTAGAGTGTTGTTACGTTTTGAAGTGTTTGGGTGTGCTGGTTTGAGCTTTGGCCCTTAATTTTCTGTCTCATTGTATCATGGTCTTTGAGATTTCCTTTATGGGCTACTATACAATCGATTTTTATAAATGCTTCATGAGTACTTAGAGAAAAGGTATATTTTCTTTTTGGAGGGTACATAATGGGCATATATCTATTCAATCAAACACATGAAATACATCATTCAGTTCTCCTCCATCTTAATTCATTCGTTGCCTACTTGTTCTGTCAGAGACGGAGGGACATGTATTAGGATCTCCCGCTACTTTGTGTTCCTGTCATTTTCTCTTGGTATTTGTCATGGAATTGCTTTTATGTATTCCCTAGCAACATCATTCAGCACAAAAAGGCTCATGGTACTTATGTCTTTTTTGTGGCTGCCCTCTTTATCAACATTAAATAACCCTTTCTGTCCTACTTAATGCCTTTTCTTGTCTTTAAGTCCTCTTGATCTGATATTTATATTGCCAACCCAGCTTTCCTTTTGTTTGCATTTGCCTGATAAACTTTGCCTATCCTTTTACATCTAACCTTTCTGTGTCATGTTGTTTTATGCTTGTCTCTTGACAGAGCACACAGTTTTTAAAGAAAATCTACCTTATGTGCTTTGGCACTTTCTGGATTGCCTTGATAGCTAGAAGCAAGTCCTCCTGCTCAGGAAACTGTCCTCCCTTCTTTAAAAAAAA